ATTACTCCAGCAACTAAGTGAAAAATACAAAAAAGTGAGACGAGATTTATTTCAAACGTTTTAATGTTTTCGGATGTTTATATAATATTAAAAGGACCATAGACTTGGTCACGCCGATTTGGTCAGTTTTCAGGATCGTGGTGAATGAAGTCAAACATGTATTGTCAAAGATTAGGAATCGTTTGATAAGTTAATAGTAGTTTCAAGCATATAAGTATTAACATACATTAACATAATACACTTAGGGTGAGAAACGCCCATTTTAAGTCCATTTATGCAGTCTTGAAAATTGGTGCGGTATGATTTCATTAGTCACTGAAGAAGCATATTTTTCGCGGTTTCTAAATTTGCCGTTATATGAAAGTAGGGGACGTGCTTTAAGTGTTTAGATATACATAAATATTTCAGTTAATTCCATTATGTGAAAAAAAGACTGTAGGTAAATGTAATTGTCTTTAACATATCCTGGGAAATCCTTTTGAGGACTCTCCAATCGGACGATATTGCTTTGCATTCAGCTTGAACGAAAAAAGTCACTACCTGGCACACTTTTCTGTAATCCGGTTCTATCATATAAGTAAAAGTTATTTATACAACGGAAGAGAAATGTTTTTAGAAAAAACTGGAGATCCACTTAAGTTGTTCGGTATAACTTTGGTAAATGTTACTCGATCGGTATGTAATAACTACCAAATTGAAGACGAGACTTTCTGTTAGAGATTTATGAAAATAATTCAATGAAAATCGTTCAGTTATAAACAAATTATTTTAAAATAACAAAGAATGTTGACCAAATTTTTTTTTTATTTTCCTTTATTTGCAATTTTCATATTGTATGCATAAACATAAGTAAACTAAGTAGTATTTCTAGAAGTTGTGCCTGTTCAGTGTTTCCATACTCATTTGCATAAACAAAATTTTTCCATGATGATGGAAAATAATGGCTTTTGTATTAGAACTACCGAACTTGTTCTTAAATTTGCGAAAATTCGCAAACTATAGCTAATATTAAAAAAAGGTTGGAGTATTTGGAACCAGCGACCGAAATGCACGCCAGTAATATTAATGCTGTTCTTTACATCTTTTGACTATTGGCCAGTGCAATTATCAAGAGAACAATTAAAATTTTATTGAAAAAAGATAACTTTGAGATGACCGATAAAATAAAGGGAGAGAAATGATATTTGACTTTTGCGTTAACGGATTCATTATCTAATAATATGCACCAAACATTTTTGATGAACCCAGAATTTTTACCAAGAATTGGTTTTATTTGACTAGTGTGCAGTGGGTCACTTGGCGGTCGATGCGCGGGCTCTTACAATTAAGATAAAATACTTATATTTTGCAGGCTTGTTGTTGACTTCATGATACAATATATTTTCACTATTACCAAAGGATTTGAGAAAAATTAGATTTTCGACCCGCCCTAATGAACATTTTTATTAAAAATTATCGAACAGAAATTACAATGAACAACTTTGCATATACTGCGAAAAATTCTCTGTTCCAATACTTTTGTTCTTCACTGTGATCGATCTGGGTTCTTCTTTGTTGAACCAGCTACCTGTGTTGGCTTTCAAACGTGTAGAGAAGTGATACCCCCATATCTAAGGTGATCTGCTGGTTAGCAGATTCACATCTTCGTCTTTGCGGGCACCAGCCCTGGCCTTGAAATTGTTTGACTGCTACCATATTTTCTGATAGAGTATACAAAACTAAACAGTATGTAAATATTTTTTCTAATTCTAAAAGGAACTGTTATGGCTTTTAAAGAAGCGTTCATTAGGCCTTAGTTACTTAGCAAAATCTTAAAACATGATTTAACCAAAAATTTAGTTAAATGAGTTTCTTTTTCTTCTTTTTTAGAAACAAACGTATACTCAGATACCAACAGACAACAGAAGCGTCGACAGTAATAACGCCAAATCAGCGATCGGCACTGTAACCCTGCAAAAGAGTGATGTGGAAAAAACAGCGAAGCTCGATCCAAAGAAAGCAGGCGAAAATGCGCCTGAGCACCCGCCGACAAGGTATTCAGCCGTATAATTTTACATGAGTGTAACTTATCGATAACACATGCCAATAAAATTTCAAAAACTGTTTGCGGCACGGAAAGTGAACCCTGATTCTTATAGGTTTTCCGAAGGATCAGAATCTGAAATCAGAAATATTAGATTGGCTCTAGTTTTTGAGATATTTTGACTTAAAAATAGGAAAATACAAATTTTGGGCATGTTTAGACATCTATAATGGAATTCCTTGGTCTGGTAGAATCTTTCGAATAGGATGTATAAAAAACTAAACATTGCTCTTTTAGCACAAAAGATTAAGGCACGGTGAACATTAGAGCGATATGATACGCGATACGATACGAAAGCGACATCGACACGCTGAGTACGTGGGAATTGGTAGGAAGCGATGAAAACTGTGCACGTTTGTACGACAGTCGATGTCGCTTTCATATCGTATCGCGTATCGCATCGCATATCGTATCGCTCTAATGTGCACCGTGCCTTAGATTTGGCTATATTTATAAAGTTACAAAAATAATTTTAAAACAAGTTATTTTTAAGCAAAAAACAAAACCGACTTCAATTCTCATATAAAAATTTTAGAGTACAGCTAATTTCTTCTTGATCCAACGATCGGATCTAAACAAACTTAGTATGGGAATTGGTAACCTTCTCCTTTTTGTGAAGTTCGTTAAAAATATACACAGCGAGTGAAGTTTTTTCAGTTATTTAAAAAAAAATTTAAGGAAAAATATGCGAAAATTTTCGACTTTTTGCTTACCTGTGCATTTTTTTAACTTTTCAAAAATAAATAAATTAAAGAAAATGAAAAAAAACGGGTTTAAGATTTTTGTTTATTTTACTTCTTATTAAAAATAGTCTATCATATCGTCGGCTTAGAGTGTAAACCTGCTAAATCCTTTTTTTTGGCAAAATTGACCTTTTGATGCAGTTCGAAGGAGTAGGCGATTCCGCAGTTGGCAAGCAAAAAACTACGTCAATATATAAATATAATTGTCAAAAATTGTTTGATGAGTAAAGCTGCTAAGTACAATCAGTTCAAATTCAACTGCTAAATCCAACATATTGTGCTTCTGTCGCTCGATTATTGTTCTATCTTAGAGTATTACTTTATGCGTTTAAGCCAAGGTAATAGCCAGCGAATAAGCTTTAATTTTTTATATCTCAAG